ATTTGATTTGATTTACTTGCCAAGTCTTTTCAAGTAAAAGACAATAAGAAAAATAAGGAAGAAAAGAAACTAAAGAAATAAGACAATCATCCCATACAATTAAGAGGGGGGGGAATAATTTCCACACAAGAAAGTCACATTTTTAAAACTTCTCACATTGTTTTATACCATCAAAGACTCTGGTAATTTATTCCAAGCAAATTTATATTTTAAAAGTATGTAAAAGTATATGGAAAGGTATTATATGTATAAAACGTATATAAAAGGAAGGGTATTTTTACTGAATTCCCAATTAAAAAACAATGTCCAAAATGAAAGGAATAACAATCCTGAGGAAATAAGCAACTCCTGAAAATGGGCAAAATTAAGCCTTTAAACAAAATATCATTCATACTCCTGAGGAACAATAATTCTAGCCGTAGTATACCAAAGACATGCTTTGACTGAAACACGAATCACATACAGTATATAGACCTGAGTCACAATGAAGATACAAATTAAATAACCTCATTCAGTAATGAAACTTAAACCAGGACAAAATGCCAAATAATAATCATAATTTTCACTTAAAAACACAAATGTAACCATAATTAAACTAATAGGGAATCTACTGAAAATAGATGTGAACAGGTGAATGCAAACAAGACCGTTTCCTAAATAAAATGGTTTAATTTCCTGTAGAAACAGCATATAGATGGAAGCTATGCTTAATTTCTCTGTTTGCCTGATTTTACCTGGAAGTGCTGCAGTTACTCTTGTGACTCCAGGACACTGAAGATTGCAAAATGTCTTTGAACTGATCTATTCAGACAGTCATATATTTGTCAAGCACAGAAACCGACGGGTGGAAAAATGCTATCTGACACCACAAGCATTTTGAGATTTGAGAAATGGTTTATTTTCACTTATCGATGGCTTAAAAGCTAGCAGACATGGGATCTTCAAGATATTATACTGTATGTCACATAAGAACACAATTCAGGCAATTGAAAAGAAAGCTTGAGTAATTTCTCAGTTGTATTTAAAGTCCATTATCCCACATGGAGGTGAACTGAGGACAGCTCTGAGCATAATGGCCAGAGATGGATGGTAGAAACAAGTGCTGTGTGTATTTTGTCTTCAGATCACATCAAACTTCCGAACACTGAACATTTTCACTAAGGGAATATAGCTTTAAAAATTGTTTTCAAATGGACTAATTGTCTGTTGGGTGTTTTGTGTGACAGACAAAGGTTTTGAAAGTGTGGTAAAGTAAATATGTACTCATTTTGAGCCTGACATCCAAATATCCAAAAAAAAAAAAAATTTTTTTCTTTCTTTTTTTTAAAATACACTACCATTCTAAAATGTCTTATGCTCACAAAGCTTGCGAATAAATTATACAAAATGCTGTAAAAATATTAATATTGTGAAATATGATCACATTTAAATTCTTTTGCAGTTTTTCAGTGTCATATGTTCCTTTAGAAATCATTCTAATACTGATGTTGTGCTCAAGAAACATTTCTTATTACTATTGGAAACAGTTGTCCTGCTTAATATTTTTGTGAAAATGTATTTAGCCCTCTCACCACTGTTATGGCTCAAATTCATAAATACCTCTAGGGGAAACCTCCGAATTAAGTATAACCTGGTGAAAGCCACATCCCAAATTTGGCTTGTAAAATAAATTACCAACCAAGTAAGCAGTAATCATTAGTTACAAAACCCCAGATCTCAGATTAGAAAAGCGTTTTAGAGCATGTGACTACAAATGTGACTACAAATCCCAATGTAAATCCACAAACATGGCTCTGCAAATTAACTTTTTATTTTTCAGGAAAACCACAAGAATTGAACTGAATTTATCAAACTCAAACTTTTCTGCCTAGTTTCTTTTGAAATAATTCAAGCAAATCAGCAATTCAAATCATCACAAGTCAAATCACCACAATTGCAACCCAAACACTAACGTTATAATTCAAATAAATGCCTAAATTCACGCTACTCTCAAATTTAAGTTCCATTTACGAGCTCAGTTTTTTCGTTAATCAGTTCCTTTTCGTAACAATATTTATCTGTTCACAAGCAGAAATCTCCTCTTTTTACGGTTGTTTTGCCCCCACCACCCAAAGCGTTGCTTACTTTTTCTGTAAGACCCCACCCCTTGAACTCTAGGGGTCACACTAAAAACATCTAACTGGTTCACAGAAACTTTTTTTTAAATAAACAAGACATTTTCTGTTTGTTTACTTCAATATCAAAACCTTTGTAACTATTTTATTTTACAAAGGAAATTAAAGTGTTAGTTCACCCAAAAATGAAAATTAGTCCATAAATTACTCACCCTCAAGGCATCCTAGGTGTATATGACTTTCTTCTTTCAGACGAATCCAGTCGGAGTTATTTTTAAAATTGTCTTTGATCTTTCAAGCTGTTTAATGGCACTCAGCGGGTGTTGCAGTGCTTCAGTTCAAAAGAAGTGAAATAAAAAGTGCCCATCCATAAAAACAATGTGTCTCACACGGCTCCGGGGGGTGAACAATGTCCTCCTGTAGCGAATCGATGCATTTTTGTAAGAAAAATATCCATATTCAAAACGTAATAATCACTTTAATCTAGCTTGCGCCAACAGTTGTACACGGAAGCAGCTCCGAGCGGATGACGTATGAGGTCAGTGTTGCGCATGCGCTGGTGAGTCTCGTTAAAACCAACGTTTGTTAACAGGAGCAAAGGAAGCAAAGTTTCCTTACTTTAGCAAAGGAAAACCAGTCTCCTCTTGGCTTATATCGAAATCCTCTGACATTCTTCTTTACATATCCTCATTTTGTACTTCTAATTAGTGACCGTTGTTTTGTTTTGATCTCTCCCCTGTGCTTCCGCGTTCGTCACTTCTGAGCAGCGCATGCGCAATCGCCGAATTCTTACGTCATCATCGCGGAGTTGCTTCCGTGTACAACAGTATTGATTATTAAATTTTAAATATGGCTATTTTTCTTACAAAAACGCATCGATTCGCTACAGGAGGACATTGTTCACCCCCCGGAGCTGTGTGAGACACTTTTTATTAAGGATGGCGCTTTTTATTTAACTTAGTTTGGACTGATGCACTGCAACACCCGCTGAGTGCCATTAAACAGCTTGAAAGATCAAAGACAATTTGTAATATAACTCCGACTGGATTCGTCTGAAAGAAGAAAGTCATATACACCTAGGATGACTTGAGGGTGAGTGATTTATGGGCTAATTTTCATTTTTGGGTGAACTAACCCTTTAAGGACAATGACACTTTCCATATGAACAAGTGTCAGTGATTCCAAAATATGAATCCATATTCATTTCTATATATAAATATAGAAATGAGAAAATCTCAATTTAGAAAGCACTTTAAGGATGACAGCAACACTCCTATTAGTAGACCCAAGCTTGAAAAGGGCTCTACAACCGTCACTTTTGATCAGTTTAATTCATCCTTGCTGAAATAAAGTAAACAATAGATGCACTGACCCCATGGTTTTGAACGGTAGTGTACATTAGGCAAATCAATTGTGCATTATGTGTAGTGGACAATAAATTAATAATGTTTTATCTCTGTGGTATTTCAGAGAGTGCTGTCGGTTCTTTGGGGACGATGGACTGACGGCGAAGGTGTTCTTTACTAAAGTGGCCCCTTTTGGCCTGCTGTGGATTATGACAAACTACCTGTACCTTCAGGCTCTGAGAAAGATCAACAGCACCGATGTATCGGCCCTCTTCTGCTGTAACAAAGCCTTTGTCTTTCTCCTGTCCTGGATCGTACTGCGGGATCGCTTCATGGGTGTCAGGGTGAGTGGATGGATGGATCGTTGGATAGATGGATGAAATTCTAGATATTTATTTGACATGAGTGTTGCTAAAAGAGTTTAATGATGGATGGATAGATAGATGTCCAATGTTGTTTTCTCTGGATGTCTTCTGCTGTCTAATCCCATGAGTCAGCAGTGCCATCACAATACCATAGTCTAATCCCATGAGTCAGCAGTGCCATCACAATTCAATACTTTGCTTTTACAACCTTTTCCTGTCTTCTTCCTTTGTGCTCCTCCTTTCTTATATTTCCTGTTCCCTTTTTTTCTCTCGAATCAAAGGAACTAAAGTGCTGTGTAACATTTTCTTTGTCTATGTGTTCCTGTTCCTCCATCTCTCTCTCACACACACACACACACACACACACACACACACACGTACACTGCAGTGCTGGGCAGATTTTGGTGAGTCAGGGTGTTTGGACGCTCATGCCGCAGTAGAAGTTAAGTAGGTTTCCATATATAAAAAAAACAATTTCTTATTTCTTGCTTGTGATATTTATAGTGAAATATGCCCTGGACATGTTTCAGGTTTCATATTTACCCATGTGTATTTCTATGTTCTCCTGGAAAGATGATGGTAATATGAATATAGCAACATCCATGAGAAAACCACAATTTTTTCAACAATCTTTCAAACAAAGGATAAAACAGTGAGAGTTGGACCAAAACAAAATGTAGAGCAGGAATACAGCGTTAGAGGAAAGCTGTTCAGGAGGGTCGTTGAGTTAAGAGTAATCAGTCTTTCTGACGCCCTCGTAATGCTTCTTTACTGCACTTGAAGGGATAGTTCACCCAAAAATGAAAATTTGATGTTTATCTGCTTACCCCCAGGGCATCCAAGATGTAGGTGACTTTGTTTCTTCAGTAGAACACAAAAGGAGATTTTTAACTCAAACCGTTGCAGTCTGTCAGTCCTATAATGTCAGTGGATAGGAATCACGGCTTTGAGAGTCATAAAACATACACAAACAAAACCAAATTACTGTCCTGAGTGCGTCCTGAGCGCGTTCGCGTCTTCTTCTTCAGCCTGCACGTGAGGCGTCTTCTTCTTCTTGCTTTACGGCGGATCGCAGACTTATAAGTGCATTACCGCCACCTATCTCTCAAATGGACCATTGACACTCCCAATTGAGATTGTAGATAGAGTGTCAATGGTCCAATTGAGAGATAGGTGGCGGTAATGCACTTATAAGTCTGCGATCCGCCGAAAAACAAGAAGACACCTCACGCGCAGGCTGCAGAAGAAGATGCAAATGAGCTCAGGACACGCTCAGGACAGTTCAGACTTTGCGGTGAAAATCAGAGGTAAAAACCGATATAAATACTGTTCAGTTTCTTGCACAGACCGATCGTTTTGTGTCTGTTCACATCAATCTATCGTCACGAGCCGCAGGGTTTAATTTAGCTTTGTTTGTGTATGTTTTATGACTCTCAAAGCCGTGATTCCCATCCACTGACATTATATGACTGACAGACTGCAACGGTTTGAATTAAAAATCTCTGTTTGTGTTCTACTGAAGAAACAAAGTCACCTACATCTTGGATGGCCTGGGGGTAAGCAGATAAACATCAAATTTTAATTTTTGGGTGAACTATCCCTTTAATTCAGCTACGCCCTGGAAACATTTTTCATTTGGACACACATGTATGAAGTAGGCCTGTTCCATTTCTTGCACAGACCGATCGTTTTGTGTCTGTTCACATCAATCTATCGTCACGAGCCGCAGGGTTTAATTTAGCTTTGTTTGTGTATGTTTTATGACTCTCAAAGCCGTGATTCCCATCCACTGACATTATATGACTGACAGACTGCAACGGTTTGAATTAAAAATCTCTGTTTGTGTTCTACTGAAGAAACAAAGTCACCTACATCTTGGATGGCCTGGGGGTAAGCAGATAAACATCAAATTTTAATTTTTGGGTGAACTATCCCTTTAATTCAGCTACGCCCTGGAAACATTTTTCATTTGGACACACATGTATGAAGTAGGCCTGTTCCATCATATATAATGCCAGAGTCATACTTTCTTGAATTCTCATTATCTGTGTATGAAAAGAGAAAGAACAATAAAAAGGACATGAGGACATGATCTGCTCTGATAGAAGATTTATTAATTTATGATTATATCTTTTATATACAGTATATATATATATATATATATATATATATATATATATATGTTTTGTACCAACCCTCTCTATAATTTTTCATATATTTATTAATTAATTTTTTTAATGTTGCATTCATTCTTTTAGATGTTTTAGCTATTGTGATAGATGCTGTAGTCTACAGGCCGTCTTTGTGCTGTTTGACGTAACACAGTGTGATGCCGGTTACCTTTATTTTGTTCTTTTACAAGATTGTTGCTGCCATTCTGGCCATCGCTGGAATCGTGATGCTGACCTACGCTGATGGCTTTCACAGTCACTCTGTTATCGGCATAACGCTTGTAGTGGCCTCTGCATCTGCCTCTGCCCTCTATAAGGTAATCCCGCATCAACAGTCATGACCCTTTTGTTATTCATCAAATGTTTTTCTGTTCAGTCCTGTCGGGGTTTGTGTCATTGAAACTATACTTATCAATAACTGAATCTCTTTACATAGTCATGGAGTGACGCGTCCTTGGAGTGCCTTTGTTTTCTGTAGTTGAAATGACTTCACTAATCTATTTGTCTTGATTGATTTGTGATGTATGTTCAACTCCTGCGGTCATTTGCAAAGGACAGATCAATAAGGGAACTGGCCAGAAAGATCAGTTTGAGCTTATCAGTTGACTGTCATTTCAAACTTATCATGAGCTAAAAAAACAGCCATGTTATACCCTTGTCGTCTTTCCTGCAGACATTTGAAATATAAAACCATGTTCTTTTTTATATTTATCCTGTCCAGTGTTGCCTTGAATCTGTAGTTTGCTATCCCGTAAAACCTTCGTCCATCTTCTGAACACAAATTAATATATTTTTGGTGAAATCTGAGAGCCTGCGTTGGTACTCGTGAATGGTGGCGGATGCTGACAAGGAAGAGAAGAACTGCTGAATAAAGTTGTTATTTTTGTTTTCTTTGCACACAAAAAGTATTTTCGTAGTTTCATAAAATTGAGGTTGAACCACTGATGTCACATGAACTAGTTTAACGATGTACTTACTACCTTTCTGGGCCTTGAACGTTTCAGTTGCGTTGCTGTCTATGCAGGGTCAGAAAGCTCTCGGATTTCATCAAAAATATCTTAATTTGTGTTCTGAAGATGAATTAAATGTCTTACAGGTTTGGACCGACATGAGGGTGAGTAATTAATGACAGAAATGTCATTTTTGGGTGAACTATCCCTATAATATATTAGGGGGGATAATATATTTCATTACACTGGTATTGTATGTCAGTATGTATCTTGTCTGTTTGAAAAGATTTATGTTAAAAATAATTTTATGTAAGGAGAAAATTAAAAAGATTCTAACATTTGGAAACCTGTTTTTGAATCAGTTGAAAGTGGACAGTTATTGTAACTTCATCTAGAGAGTTTGTGGTGGATGTTAGTGGCTCTTAATGTATTGTATGGTTGGTGTTGCAGTGGTGGACCTGTACACTTGTGATATCCACTTCAACACAGTGCGACTCATCGCTGTGTTCATCATCTGTCTGGGCTTCCTGATGCTGCTGTTACCAGAGGACTGGGATCAGTGTTTGATTGAGCTCGGCACCAAACTCAGAAAGCGGGAACAGCCTGTTGAGCCGGCTGAGACTGGAACCAGCTCAGGACTCAACTGGACCCGACGGGCCAGGACCTCCATGTCAACGTTTTCCCACTGACGCACTCACCTTCTCCCATCCAGTGACTGGATGATACTGGGAAGAGCATTCATTCATAATATTTCTCAGTCAACGAGGTTCCATAGGCTATAATTTACCATAATGCACATTATAACAAAAACTTTTTTTTTTGCAGTTCTCCCAACTGTAAGTGGATTTGAGCAATGGCTTGGGTCTTTATTTGAAACTCAAGAGCAGGGGTCTCAAACTACCGATCTATGGGTCAAATTTGACCCATGAAATGAGTCATTAAGTGTTAATAGGCTATCCTTAAATCCAGCCCACAAATCAATTTATAGACTTAAATTTTTTATATTTTTTTCTTTTTATTAAAACTTTAATTTAATATTATATTTCATAATATTTCAATTTTATTTTATATACTTTTGTAATTTAATGTAAATTTATTTTTATATATTTCTTATTCTGCACATGGCTTTTATAGGCCTAAAACTTGAATGTAAAAGAACAGAAAAGTCAGAAAAGTTTGGGTTACATGCATCTATATAAGACTAGATGGCTCTTATCACAATCGATGGAGTGGTCTACACTGGGAGCACTTGTTGTGGCGTCTTCAGTGGATGGAGGATTCTATTTTTGATGCACTACAGCTACTCCAACCTTTTTATTTTGCCTGTCTGATATATATAAAAATATTTTTAATATCATATATGTGGACTGATTGCAATCTATTTAAGTCTTTTTATATTGAAAAATGTCTGATTGTTATGTCAAGGCCAGGTTGTGTTATTTCCAATCTTTTTAATGGCACTGCTACCGGCCTGTGCAAGGAGAAAATTAGAGTTGCAGTAATGCAATTTCAGGCATCATTACTCCAGTAAACATGAGCATCATGCTAGGTATGAATGAAGATGTATTCATGCCTCAATAACTGTATGTAGTTAAAATGTATGGTCATAAAACACATTTGTTGTAACAGTTCAACTGGAAAACATCAGGTAGTTTAAGTTTGAGACCTCTGCTCAAGAGACCCACATAACCAATATCTCCACAATAAAGAGAACCTGCTGGTCTTGAGATTGTTTAACTTCTCTTTGGAGCTCAGAGAATCACATCTGTCACTTTACAGCTCACATTATGACTCTCACTGGCGCAAATCACTGCGAGTGCCCAGTAGAACATGTGCCAAACATTAATATAGACATTAAGAACTACTATTTGCGCCGTCTTCTTGCACAACAAAGATCCACCTTGCAACAGGTGCATCTGAGGGATTTCCCCTCCCAATCTGTGACTGAAGATGTTCTGGATAACGGCAATCTCGAAGGTTTGGGTGGAAGGGCGAACCAGGAATAGCCTTAGAATGCCGTGGTGCTGAGGTTGGCTGGGATGCTGGAATAGTGCAGACGTCCAGCTGGCCTCATACAAAATTCTCCTAAAATGTAAACAAAGATATCTGTGGGTTAACAACAGCATCCAGACTGTTTATACTGAAGCTATAC